AAGACAGCAGTCCCATTTCTGAGAATTTCTTTTCAAGTATACCCACACATTTATGAGATCATGTATTTATGAGGTTACCCACTATAGCCCAAAACTGGAAATACCCCAAATGTCCATGACCAGGAAACTGGTTGAATAAACAAACTATGGCACAACTACATGTGGAAAACTCTAACTATGAAAAAGAGTGAGGTAATGCCCTATGAACTGATAGGGGACAATTTCCTGGATGTACTGTTCAGGGAAAAGAGCCTGTGGTCACAGGGCATGAAGCATGCTGCCTTTTCTATAAGATTTCCAAGAGCAGCAACTGGCAAAATCGCTAACACAAGACTCATCCCAAGAAACCACAGCAGGCTCAGCACCAGGATATTAACAGGCTAATGGAGAAAAGCAATACCATCATCTGAATGAATGCTAGAAAGGTGTCATCTAATTCAACATTCATCCTGATTTCTCATAAAAGAAAAACATAAGAACCCTGTTAGTGTTTGAGGTATGGATGGAGACCCTCTTAATACTATAAACAAATTAGAAACCAACAGGAAGCATGGAAAACCATGGTGAAATCCTAAAGGCACTGCTACAAAAATCAGGTTCAAGTCACGAATGAGCTCTGTCTGGGCTTATTCAGCAAGTTCTAGCCATTGTGCTGAAATAAAAAGAAGGAATAAATAAACGTATCACTATTTTCACATGATACGATGTTAAGCAATAGAGGACTCGTTAAAATAAGAAATACCAGGAAAAAGAATCCTATGTAGTTGCCAAAGATGATACTGTAGAACCACCCTTATTGTTGTGGACAAGTGTCCAAGATAGAGAACCAAATGGAGGAAGTGGATTACAGAACAGTATCATACTATGATTTCATTTGAAATATATATACATATATCTATGTTGAATATAGACATAGAGAAAAGCATAGAAGGAAATTCATCAAAATACAGAGATTATATCTCTGGCCAATGGAGTTCAAGATGATTCTTACTTTTTGTATTTTCTGAATGCTTTATCATAAGCATATTTATATAATCAAAAGAGCAACAAATCCCTTTTACCCACAAACACATGCCTATGGGATGTGCACATGCAAACTCATTTCAGGGTCATTAGGATGAGGTGTGTTTCTCCTAAATGGTTAGTGTTTGTGACCTAAGGCCACTTCCCATCTCACCCTCACCTCCCTGAAAAACCTGATTGGTCCAATCTGCCTGCTCTCTTCCCCTCTGAAAGGAGCCCCAGAACCCTGGGTTCCAGAATGGCCTAGTCTGGGTCTGATTCCCCATGTGACCATCTGGTATTAGCACCCCTACTCAGTCTTACCCTGATCTTAGCTGTTTGCAAAGACTCCTAGTCCTCTGAAGATTCCTGCCCACCTTGCCCAAAGTTGAGAGGGTTCTTCCTTGCGGTCATTCATCAGGTTTTGCCTCCCCTGTGGGTGATTTGGAAATCATTCTGGCAGCCTCAAAACTCCAAAAGCCAGGCTTCTCTGCTTCACTACTGGGCTGAAGGTCACAGCAGAGCATGCCAGGTCCAGTAACCTCATCCCAGGTCTCTTAGGGACCTTAAATATATTTTACATGTGCCTCCTCTCTGGGGCTCCATTCCTGAACTTCAGACAGCTGGTTGGATCCATTCTGCTACCTCATTCCTGCTGGCCCCAATTTCATGTCTGAGCCCTGCATCTGCTATTGCTCACCTCATCATAGACACATTGCCTGGCATAGGTTGCTGCTATTTGTGGTACAGCCAGTCCTCTTACTGATTCTCCACTCTGTACCAGGGAGGTTGTAAGAAGGCCCCTACTGGGTCTCAATGCCTGCTCAGAAGAGGACTGAATTTGCCATTTCCCTATTCCAACTGGAGTCATAATCTAGCAGCCCCTACTGGGATCCTCTTCTGTGTTATACTCACTCCACACTTCCATCAATTTCCCTCCTGGTCCAGAACCCACCACACCATCAAAGGGTGCACAGGCCAGCTCCATCAAGCTGGACATCCTCACCCCAGCCAAGAGCATTCCCTTCAAATTGTTACCACATTGCAGTGAGTGACCAAGTCTTGGGGTGACTCAGTAAACGGAGATCAAGGCTGGCCTTGATAATCTTGGGGCTTTGAAAAAGATTGGCATAGTCATTCCTCATCTCTCTAGAACCAGCTCCCTTTCAATCTCACCCTTACATAATTCAGTTATGAACCAGGAAGTAACACAAAAATACAAATGCTTTCAAACAGACTTGATTTGAAGCTGGTTCAAAAAATGAGCTTATACTCTTTTCTACATGGCTAGGTTATTTGATTTCTAACTCCATAATATGTGAGGAAAAACAAACTAGAAAAGGGAAAAGTAGCAGCTCCAAGGCAGGAATTGGGAAGCAATGGCCTGAGAATGATCCCATGTAAGGACTGGGAAAGTATGAGACCTAAGAGGGAAGAAGCAAATGGCTGAAATTAGTAGAGCTCAACAACTGATATTGAAAATGGTAACCCCAGGTCACACACAAACATGGGTCACACTCTGCATGCTCCCCAAGGATACCTAGGTGTTTGCAAAGGACTCCCAGACCTCTGAAGGCTGCCTGCCTTTCTCAAAGTTAAAAGCGCTCCTCTTTGCTGTGCATCCATCAGAAGTATGGCACAGCCAGGCTGCACAAGCATGTGTTGATTCTTCTCAGGTAGATCGGCAGTTCTCAGAAAGATACATGATCCAAATGTATCTTTACTGTTGATACATTTACATAGCAATATACTTAGCACAAATAATGTTTTCTGCTGCATATGGGCTAGTAAAATGGAGGCGAAAGAAAGCTGAATCAATCAACTGTTAATGACTTTTCTTATTAACTTTGCTTTCCTCATCTGTAAAATGGAATATATAATACCTGCCTGAAGCACTTCAAAAGGTTACTGTGAAGATAGAATGGCTATGTAAAATTCTACCTATAGAAAGGAATAAGGAGTATAAGTATGTTTTCTTGTAGTAATTCCTCTTATCTAGATTGAGTCATGGATTAAAATCACAAGAGGAAGGAAAATCACAAGTACAGAGTACTCAAAGGTTAGAGATTAGGTATATCTCGCAGACCTGTAACTGATTGAGAAGTGGCAGAGCTCAGAGAGGACTTGCCCCCAGCAATGGTAATATGTCATACCCCAGGGAAGAGCGACACCTGCTGCAACCTAACTGTACGGCAACCGACCTGGAAAACCACAAGGCTTCAAACTTCCAGGGCGGCTTGTGAGCAATTAGAGTCAGGCACAAGATGTTTGTGCAAAACTAAAAATTAAAAATAGCCACATGTGTTCTCCTTGAAAAAAAATCACAATTTTCTTCCATTTGAAAATAACTTCTATTATTTTTCATATTCAAATGTAACATACTAACTGTAGAAAAAGAAGGAAATAAAGATCGTCCAATAATATCACTATGAACATGTAATCAGTACTTAGTTTAGAGCCTGCCACTGCCATTGTCACCATCATTCTCTCTTCATTCTTCTCCTCTCTTCAAGTCATGCATATTGCAAAAAAGAAAAAAAAAAGGTAAATCAAAAGTAAAATCCCTCACCAAGGATAACCATTGCTAACAGCTTGATGTGTATTATTCCACAGATTTTATGACAATGGAAGTACATATCTATTACAGACAATAATGGCCTCTACTGGTTGTCATTGCTTTCCAGCCAAAGGCCACCAGGAGCACACGAGTATCTGAGTTTATCACTCTGCAGGGAGGGAGAACACCCACCATAGGGAACTGTGGGAGTTTCAGTTGAAAGCTGTTCAGAAGACTTTACAGACCTAGGCTTGTGCTAGGTGATTTACAGGAAGGTTTAAGGAAGCCAAGCTTTGCTCTGGATTAGATGTTGCCAGGAAGTGGAGCCATTTTAAGCTTGGGTACCTTCATAAACTCACCCAGAAGTGGGGATGACTAGCATGATGCTACAACTGGTAGAATTGGTAAAGAAGCAGCAGTCACTCCTATTAGCCAAGACAGGTGCATGCTTGGTCATTTTTGGCTTGGACAGTGTTCCTGCTTTGTGTGTATTCAGACATGATTATGAGTGGTCTGGCTTTTGTGTTGACCAGTCACATCACAGACCACTGTATGCAGTGCTGGTGTTCTGTGAAACAGAAGAACTCCAAGGTCTTGCTAGCCACTCCCAGTCACCAGGAGCTGCTCTTCTCTTTCTTATGGTTTTCTTTTTCCTTCATTTAACAATGTTGTGGACATTTTTTCCTAGTCAATATTGAGTTTTACTTAACCAAATTCCTCTTGTTAAATAATTAATTATTCTAATATTTTAGGCTCATAATTAATACAAAAATGAAAACCTTTAGAAACACATCTTTGCACTCATATAAGTGTTCTTTCCTTTAAATAAATTTCTGAGAGTGTAATTACTGGGCCAAATAATACATATATGTTTTAAAGTTTTTCATGGATATTGCCAGAATGCCCTCCATTGAGTTTGTACTTTCAGCAATAGAATAGGAGATTATTCAGCAGTAGGATAGGAGATTATTCAGTTTCCCCCAAAACCTTTGTCAGCATAAAGTGTCAGCAATCTTTTGGTTTTTTTAAATTTTTGCTAGTTTCATAGACAGAAAACATCGTTTTAGTAAGTTTTACTGCATAATACTGGATACACACAAAAGACCAAATGAGGGATGTATGTCTCAACAGACTACACTGCCTTAAATTGTCTCAGTAGCTTCAGGGGAGTCCTGTTAGGGGGTACAAAGCCTTTTGTTGGTGTCTCAAGTCTATTTCTTTAGCTGCCAGTTAAGAAAAGATGTAAGTAGAATGAGGTGTCGTTGAGTCTGTCAGGATTTGGGACATACTTAGACAACAGTACTTTTCACAGCATGAGGTTAGCTGTGCAGCTGTCTGCCTCCTCACTGACTTAGGAGCTTCAGGGTGGCAAGGAGGGTGACTCACACACTCTCTTTTTCCTTATTTTTTACTATGGTGAAATACAAATAACATAACACCATATTAACTTTTATTAAGTGTACAGTCCTGTGTTATAAATACATTCATAATATTGTGCAACTATCAACACCATCCTTCGCCTGAACTCTTTTCACATTGTAAAATTGACACCCTATACCCATTAAAAGCCCCATTTCCCTCAACCCCAGCCGCTGGCCACCACAATTCTACTCTCTGTCTCTACAGTTTTGAGTAGTCTAAGTACCTCATGTAAGCGGAATCATATAGTATTGTCTGTCTGTGGCTTATTTCACTTAGCATGGTGTCCTCAAGGTTCATCCATGTGGTAGCGTATATCAGAATTTCTTTCCTTTTCACACAGTGTAAGAAATAAACATGTTTTAAGCCACTAAGGTATGGAGTTCTCTGTTATTGTGTCATAACAAAGCCTGTCCTGACTAGTATAGCAATAGCCAAAGAATAAGAACTTATCTAGGAAAGCTCCTAGTGGTAGCTTTGTCATAAACATTGCAGAGGTTACATGTGGACATCTTGCTTTGTCAACTAGGACCTTGTAGGCTCATGTTCCTTTCTTTCTAAAGATACTTACCTGGAAATTACAAGGTGACCACAATGTATGATGAGCTACAGAATCGTGATGATACCACAGACAAGTTGCATAAACCCAGTAAATCTGAGGTGTTGGGTTTTGAGTCTGAAAAAAAATCAGTTCAGTGGATATGTAAGGGGAGAGGCAACATGAGGGGGAATGGCTCTCACAAAAGGTTGAAGGAAGGCCCTCCATCTTCCTTTCTGCACCTAATGCTCATTCAGCAACACTCTACCCAGACTCAGTTCTGCTCTCTTACTCCATAAGCCAGGTCACAATGCTGGTACTCTGGACTCACCAATTTTAGAAATGCTGATATTAGTTGCAGTGGGCATGAATTTCTCTCCAAACACAGGTACAAAAAGTATTACTTTACTTTTATAAATCTAATTAACTTGGTTTTGGAGCTCCCAATAACTTCAGGGGGAAAATATTCTCTCAGCCATCCTGAGGGTCACCATTCTTTTCCCTAGAACTGGACATGAATTCAGGGAACTCAAGTGGATCCCAGCAAAGGTCAGAAGAGTCTCTGCTCCCACAATTGCTGATGAGAAGCTCATTGTCTGAGCCCACAGAGGGTAGGCAGTCCACCCTTCCACACCAAAGCATGAGCACACTCCCACATAATCCCCAGGGCCATGACTGTCTCCAGTACCCATACAGTCCATCCCACCAGAGCTTTCTCACTTCTGGAGAAGCTGCATGGAAGCAGGACACAGGTCTTCATCACTAAGAGAATAAAACAGCCATCCCTACCCTCACCTCATGGAAGGGCCACTTCTGCCTTCACATTTCTTATAGAGGAAGCAATAGGAGCTTAGCTATCACACAAGATTAAACATGCCTTAAAAGTAGAGTGCTGAGAATGGGTACCAAGTCTTTGCACTCTTGAGCCTGTAGGGGAGAGGTCCAGTGAATCCATCTGAAGCTGGCTAAAACCAGGCCTGAGCGTTCCCCATGAGTTCCCTGCCTCAGCCTCTGACCACAGAGGTATAATCAGCCTCTTCAACATTTAACCTTCAGAGAGTCCCTGGAGTGAACCTCAGCTGGGAGGGTTTTATTCCCAGTCTCCTCGATTCGAAGGACTTCCTTGAATTTAAGGGTGGCATGTTGGTCTCTGGACCAAGCATCCATTGCTGATTCCTCCTGCCCCAAGCATGGCTCCACCTGCAGGTGGTCAAAGCCTTGAGCTTATGGTTTAGCACAGCCAAGTCTCAAGAGTCCACGAGAGGGGTGCCAACTCTGACATAAATGAGGAGTGCCATACCAACCAGCAGGCAGGTCCAGGATTTATCTGTAGCCCTAAACCTTGGGCCCAGTGTGTCTAGGCAAACCCTAGTTCCATAGACTGGGAACACTTGGAAAAGAAAGAGAAAGAGAGTTCTTGACTTACACTTTTTTTCCCACAGGGCCTGGAGCAGTCCTCTGAGCCTGACCCCTTATCTGGGCCCTCCCAACCCCACCTGGCCCCATCTAACAACCTCAGAGAGCTAGATCATTCCTTCTGTTGCTTGCCTTACCTTACCTCAACCAGGACCTGGTGTTTTACATCAATCCAGATGGACCTCTTTGGAACCATACCTGCTGTCTACTGGCCATGTCAAATTGCCATGTCATGGAGAAGCTCCACCAAGAATTTAAAAACTGCAGAGCTATTTCTTGTTGCTTTATTACCATTTTTTCCCTCCAGTTGGTGTTGAAAGTTCCAACCTTGCCTCTGCTACATCCAAAAACTCAAGTTTTATCCCCACTTCCTAGACACAGGATCTGTGCATACAGTTGACCAAGACACTCAGTTATAGCCATGATTTCCCTCCTTTGACAGGGAGTATCAGGGCCCATCAGATGCTGAAAGGCATTCTGCCATCACCGAGGCCATCAGTCAACTAGTGGGGCTGCTGGGAAAAGGGAGGGAGCTGGGGACTCCCAGGAAGGAAGTGAGCCTGCCTCCTGTTGAGTGGCGGCCAGTGGTGTTAGAGCTCACTTGCCTAATAAGACACAACAGTGAGCCTCTCCTTCTGCCTCTATTTCCAGCACCGCACTGTGGGTAGAAGCAAACCACAGGTTAGGGGTGACAAGCGAAGAGTCGGTTTATGGGCCAGAGAGAGGAATTTAAGAGTGAAAGCCAAAAAGTGGGCAATCTTTGGAGTCTGGAAGTAAACACAAGCTCCATCCCCACCCTTCCTCATGGCTGCTTTGAAGTGTGAAGCCAGGCAGATGTCTGACTGCCAGAATCCCATTTCTCCCCACAGGAACCCTGCACCCTTCCTCAGCTCCCTTGTCCACAGCTCCACAGGCCAAAGATCATGCAACCAGCTATGCACAGCATTTCTTTGAGAGGTGGCTTCACATTCCTGTGCTATTACTCACTCTTGGGACTTGATCTTTGTACCAAAAGATGGCCCTCCCCATTTCAGACCTATTTCCACACTTTCTCTTTTTTTCCGATATTCCTCATCCCATTTTCCTCCAACCAAACCACTGTCCAAGGACCAAAGGCCTCAAATCCACTGTGAACCAGCCCCTCCCCTCCTTGGGAAACTTCCTCTTCCCCTCATCACTGAGAGCCCAGGCCCTCCAACATCTCCTCACTGCTCCTCTTCCCCCAAAATGGAGCAAACCCATAATGTCCAGAGAGTAAAGTGAGGGTAAACTTAAGAACATGGAGCCTTCCTCCATTCCCACGTAGGACTAAGAAAGTCACTAAGATCAGACACATTTGGGGATTATAAAATCCAAAGCCCTACTTCCTAAAACCTGGACACCAGCAGCTAAGATCTGGCCTGAGATGACCCAGGACAGGACGTCTGTGTGGGAGGACTCCTACAGAGAATGGGCCCTAAAGTGATTGCCTGTGTCATGGTTATCCTATAGTTAAGCTATATGATTATGGCATAATAAGACAGTTTTTACAATAACAGCCTCTACCAGTATAGATAGTATCTTATCAATTACATGTTTTCTCATTTAATCCTTGCAACATCCCTGAGGTAGGTTTTATTATCCCCACTTTACAGATGAGTAAAGCTATGTTCCTAGATCAGATTACTTGCTGAAGATCATACACTTATCAGTGGCAAAGCCACTGATAATTCCAAACTCAAGGGACTTTTTTGAGTAGTTCACAGGCTGCTGCCAAAGAAAGGAGAGCTGAAAACTTCACCTGGGATGGGCTGGATCATTCATCAGAGCTCAAAGACCAGAACTGAGCAGGAGAAGCCTAGAGCATCTGGGAGTTACAAGGCAGGAGTTTGGTAAGGGTTGACAGTGTCTTCAAATGTACAAAGCCCATGTTCCAGGAACTGAAGAAACAAGACAATGTCCAGCAGCCACAGATCCAGGGGCTTCCAGACGACATCCAGTAGCCGCAGGTCCAGGGGCCTCCAGACGACATCCAGCAGCCGCAGGTCCAGAGGCCTCCAGACGACATCCAGCAGCCACAGGTCCAGGGGCCTCCAGACGACATCCAGCAGCGACAGGTCCAGGGGCCTCCAGATGACATCCAGCAGCCGCAGGTCCAGAGGCTGGCCACAGGACAGGGATGGCAGGACAGGAAGAGCTACCACTGAGAAGCAGCATCTCAGCCTGACCCCATGGTGACCATGGGGCAGTGGTCCTTTTACTTTGTTAAGGCCTTGAGAATATGATGAAAACCACAAAACCTCTCCCCAGAAAAACACAGACACATATTTACAGATGACATTTTGCATACGATTTCAGGGAGTCCATGGACCCTAGTGGAGAACGCCTGCTTTAGGGCAAAGGTGTCAACCTGAGTGAAGTCATTGCCACAAACCTGTCTTATGTAGCTTGTATTTTCTATGACTGTTTCCCTTTTGTCATCCCCTAATATTTAGATTGTTGTGAAGTTTATTTTTAATGGGAGCCAACGAAAGGGGGCCCAACCTATACTCCAGCCAGACAAAGTAACTATGCACGGCAGTGGTGGCAGCCAGGAGGCAAAAACAGAAAGCTGGGGTCACATGCACCGCTGTCCTTCCCACCCAGAAGGTCACTTCGGGAGTTTTTCTCTACTCAAGAGAAATGCTGTGGTTGGTGATGGGAACAGGGCAGTGGTGTGCTCCCGTATGGAAAGGAAAGCCAATCCTTCTCTGACAGCAGAGTCTGAAGCCCTACAGGCAATGCCCCCGTTACAGCCTCTCCCCTCCTGACCCCCATGAATACACTGAGCACTGGCCCAGTCATTCATACACATGCGGCCAGGTCTCCTATGAACCCCCATGTATTTACACACTCTTTTATGGAAGGACAACTAGGATTGGGGAGACCTCAGGCCAGAGATTCCACATTGGAACACAGGGATCATGCGCTCCCCACAGAGAATCAGATGAACTGGGAGAATCGGCAAAAAAGCTCAGTATACATTAGCCCCCAATCACCTTTAGGCCTCCTCCTCTGGCCAGGACCCAACCAGAAGGCAAAGTCATAGCTGTGTCCTATGCCCCATTCCCAAACTAATGGGCCCAAGATAATGGTGCCAGGACTGAAGGAGTCACAGGGGTTCAGAGGGCAGGGGTGGGAAAAGTCCTGATTCACTGCAGAGAGCAGCTCTGATCTCTCATGGGAATCAGGAAATCAAGCAAAGGCTTGTCCCCAAGCCCATCCAGGCCCAGAGAAGGCAGACACTGAAGTCCAACTGATCGCTCAAAGGCCAAAGAGAACTCAGAGGCCAGGACGGTGTTCCAGGCCCAGCAACTCCAGCCTCTCAGTGGCCATTCCATTGCAGAGGTCACTTGTACACTGGTGGTCATTTGCCCTAAATGGATGTTTCATCACATGTGGCTAGAGGGGCCCCAGTTAGCCTAATGTGGGCTGGGCTTGGGCAAGGATCAAGCAGGAAAGGCGGAGGAAAGCCCCCAAAGCCACTGGCCCTCTTGGCCAGTGCCAGGGGCAACCGCTCATCTTCAGGAGATGGGGAGGGAGGGTCTTGGCTATAGCTTGTGGTCCCAGATGCCGGAGCCCCTAGGTCCAACCCCACCTTGTCTCTAGCCAGAAGTTCCCTCCGTCGCCGTTGCTGCTGACGCCGACCAATAAGAAGGAGAGCCAGTGATGCTGTAAGAACCCCCAGGAGGAAGCCGACCAGCCCAGCCCCCACCATGTGGGCCTGACTTGGGGCACCCCGCTGGCTGCTCCACACCAAACTGTAAGCAGCCACCACGCGGGCCGCCCCCCCTTCTTGACATTCACAGGCATAAGCCCCCATGGCCCCTGGGGTCACCACCACCTCCAGTCCATCCCGCCGGGGGGTGAATGGAGTCACTCCACCAGGCTGGTGCCACACACAGGATGCCCACGCTGAGCTCGGGGAGCATGGCAAGACCACGTGCGCAGAGGCAGCCACAGGAACTTCAAACACCACCGGGTGTTCTGCAGAGAGAGAGCAAAGGCTCAGAAGACAGTGCTGCTGCAGGGTGGGGGCATGACGAAGAGAAGTGCGGGGTGACATCAGGTATGAGAAGGGAGTTTGCAAAGAGGCTAAGGTCCTGCATCACCGGTTGCCATATCTTCTAGGATCTAAGTTTGAAAGTGGGTCCAAACTGGACAACATTCTAGCCCTTCCCACCCACTCCACCCCCATTTACCTAAACCATACAGACCTCCGGGCTCTTTGGGACACAAAGAAGAGACATCCGCTGACTCTATGTCTTGGGCCAGCCTATAAAGAAGAGAATACTTGGTAAAGCCAGGGTCAACATTCCCGTCCACCTTCCTCAGGACCACCAACCATTCACTCATCCCTTACAACTCCCACCAGCTCATGCATCAGTCAACATTCTCTTCCTCACTAAATTTTTCCTCAATATCTTATCCTCCTCATGATATTTGCCATGACAACTGTCAGATTCTACACATATTTTTAGCAGACCACAGATTTGCACTAGGCTTGTGGCAAAGATGTTTGGTGGGCTGCTTTAAAAGGAGCAGATGAACCTTCCAGGAAATGTAGGTGGCTGCCCTAAACCATGCAATTTCTCTGGAAAACATTAAATCTGCCATTTTTTCCCTGCTAAGAGAAAAAGAAAACTTCTTTCCTGTAAGAGCTAACCAAAATTCCATGAGGGTCAGTGAGGTGACTTTGTTTCATAAAAGCTGCTCTTCTCTAGGTGGGAACTCTCTCTCTTCTACTGTTGCTATCTATTGGCTTCTAACAGATCTGTTTCAAATAACACAGTCTTGGTATTTCTGGGATTGGGTGGACTGTGTCTGACAGAGGGACACAGGACAGACTGCTCACCCTAATCTCCCTGGTAGCCCTACCTGGAGGATGGAGGCAGTGAGAACTCCACTGGGCTGTCAGTGAAGACAGGTGCAGGTTCAGTGTAAACATACAAAAGCCTCACCCACAGACAGGCTCCATTCAAGTATGGACTCCTTCAACATGAATTGAGGCCCCTGACATGAGCTCAAGACTAGTATGGATACATTAAAATCTTCTGGATGAAACCAAAGTTGCTTAGTCTAGCTGAGAGTAGGGAACCAGGGAGACCATATGTGCAACTCTAGCCTCTTTGTCTGTGTAACTTCACAATGTTTTTTTCCCTTATATGAGTTGAGGTAGGAAAGGTAATATGCATAAAAGTACCATCTTGGTAGTTTCTTGTATTACCAAGAAATACACTGGCATGTACACATACCCCACATCCCTCCTACACATGTATCTTAAGGGAACCCTAAGGCTCAAGCACATGAAAAACGATACCAAAAAAAAAAAATTTTTTTATTTCAGTGGATAGTAAAACAATAAAGAAAGAATAAAACACTTATTTTTGTCTAATAGATGTTTAAAAGTTCTCCCAAGAGAAACCAGAAGACCAGGTCAAAGTTCTTAACCAAAAATTAATTCCCAAAACAAGCACTTTCACTGCTAAAAAATTTATAACCTTGGAGTTCAGTAATATATACAAATATACTGTAAATTAACTGGGCTCCAAATTAGGAAATTTCAATGTCAGTTTGAAAAAATACATTCCAAACAATCAATTAAGAATGATCCATTGAAGGGAATTTCAAAGATTAAAAGACTTAAACCACATATTAGCCAATTACAATTTACAATTGATGAATATTATTTGGATCCTGACTTGAGCAAATTATTCTTAAGTATATGCAATTAAGAAAATTGGAACCTTGACCGGATGTTTCATGACATTAAGAAGTTGTTTTGGTATGATGATGATAATACGGTTATGTGTTTTTAAAAGCCCTTTTGTGATAGAGCTTTGCATGGAAAGATTTGTAGATGAAGTGATAAGTTTGACATTTGCTTTAAAATAATTAGGAATGAATATTAATGAAGCAAGAGTGGTCAGAAGTTGGTGGTTGATGAAGTTGAGTGATAAGATAATAGGAATTCATTATACTATTCTATTTGAATGTTTGAAGTTTCTTAAATTTCTTAAAATAAAATGTTTTTAAGAGAGTCCTCTTCTAGTAGGAATACACACTGAAACGTATGAGATGAACATGATATCAGGGATTTGCTTCAATGTGGCATATGACTTCAAGCTAGCTGCTACGTGGGAAAGGGATGGTAGGATCCCACACCAATTAGACCAATCAGAAGGTTATTAGAGTTAAGAGATGATGATGACTTTGAACAGGGTGATTACAGTTAAGATGGAAGAGATGGAGAGAAGAGGCTATGGGCTGAGGATATGACAGACAGCTAGAGTACGTACAAACTGCAATACAATGTAGGCAGTTCCTGGCTTAAGCAGCTGGATGGGTATAAGTCCCTCTTTTGAGATGAGGAAAACCAGAGGAGGAGCATGTGAAGGAAAGAGGAAAAACATGCACTCTAAAACCTGGTAAGCTGTGAAGCATCCAGAGGGAATATCAAGTAGGTAGTTTGACAGGGAATTCTGTAGCCCTGTGGCTGTCACCAGCACTTCACTGGTATTGAAAATAATGGGAATGAAATCGCTCTGGGTGGGCCAGAGCCCTGGGACAGCAGGCAAGAGACCAATGTAGCCACACTCACCCTCCATGCTCCCCAGCAGTGGCCACACATGCATCTAGCTGGAAGCTCCAGGCACAGACAGGGTCTTGGGCCAAAATGCACTCTGAGCAGCTCTGGAGACGGCGACAGTTGGTTGTATTTACTTGTGTCACCTCAGTACGAGAGCCAACCAGGAGCCAGTTCTACAGAAATAGAGAGAGGGGATGAATGTGCTAGATCTCCCAGACATCAGGCTCACAAACTAGCTCTGGGCTCAGATGTCTCCCCACCAGATGGTCCAATATCTACAACTCACTTGATACAATTTCATAGTCTCAACTGGCTGTGGCTCTGGGAATAAGGCCAGATCCTCAAGGACACTGAGATGGGCTCCAATCCGCACTGCTCGATGGAGGTGTCCATCCTCTAGGAAGCAGGCAAAGGGCAAGACATAAAGACATAACTGAACCAGTGCCTCGGACTCTGATATCTGTGTGATTAGGACCCTCTCTGTGATGAGAGCATGTGTGCACTGAATGGGCATCTTGCTTGACTATTAAACATACCTGTCCCCAGGTAAAGCACATCATACTCTTTTCCTGAGAGACTGGTCACCCTGTGGGCCACAAGTCTGAGATAGGCTGTATCCGTGGTGACCAGCAGGGGGTGGTCGTTAGCTGGAAGCACTGGCCCGTCCATGAGCGGATGGTCCCGGATGAAGGTGAGCACACGGTCAGGCAGGGAGAGCGACGATGCAAACTGCTGGAGCTTCATGTTGTTAGCAATGCACTGGAGGAAACAGGAGGAGCAAACAAGTTGCCCAGAGGCAGGAAGTATCCACGACACTTAGGTGGGCTCTAGACCTAAGGCAGCAATTAAGGCGTGGGGCAAAGAGCTGCCCAGCCCATTCACCTCTCCAGGTCTGGGCTGGGGTACATCATTGTGCATGACAGGCAGTCCCCTGTTGCAGTCATGCTTCAGCTCTCTGAAGGGACCATTCAGTACTGTCCGAATGTCTTGTGGTTGGAAGGCACAGAGAGAAGAGATGGCAGCTCCCTCCCTGGAAGAGTCACAGGTTGGAGCCAAATATTTGGAGGGAACTAGGAGTCAGCAACTCATCCCCTGCTAAATGAGATGACCCCTGAGCAATGCACAAGGAGCCATGAAGCCTGCTCCAGAACACAGGAAACAGGGCTCTGGGCGGAGTCCACCCCCTCTGGAGGACACAGCTCTGACACTGCAGCACCCCCAGAGGACCCCCACCCTGGAGCTCTCCTCCACACCAGGACCCCCCTCACCACTGGGAGGAAAAGATGCCATAAAAGATGGGGGTCCCCAATCCATGCTCAGGTCGAAGAATGGCCATGTCCTGCAGGACACTGGAGGCCCGGCCATGCTCAGGCCCTGGACACAGCAGGTCAGCCTTCAGAAATGTTGTCCACCTCTGCTGGAGGGTCTTCCGGCCCCCAAGATCCCCCTGGGGTGACAAGCACATGGGAAGTTCTCTTTAGAAGACCAGTATTGGGGAAGACATGTGGACACCAATACAAGTCTCCCCCTGACTTGAGGGGGAGAGAGACAGATGCATAGGAATGCAAAGACAGAGACATAGGGTAGCTGCAGGGCATAATGAGACATACAGTGGAGGGGGCACACTAAGAGTGGCAGCCACAAAGTTCACTGTGCACTTACGAAGTATTGTACTAAGCACTACATAAGTTATGGCATTTAGCCCTCAAAACAACCCCTACAGCTATTTAATTAATATCCTCATCTTACAGAGGAGGGTCAAAGATGCTAAATCTGCCCCGTGCCACAGAGGCAGTAAGTGATGGAGCCAGGACTTGAACCCAGGTCTCCCAACAGTTCTTGCCTTTAACCTTTACACTAGCCCACCTCCTGGTCATAGGGGTAATTTGGGGGGTCAAAGAGGCCAGTGCCCTTTCCCCACACTCCCAAGCCCCGGAAAAGTGAAGGCATAGGAAAAAAGAAGACAGGAGAATTGCAAAGACAGAGACCCAGAGAGGAAAGACAGGAGGACAGGCGGGGCCGGAGAGGACAGACAGCTGGGATCGGGGTCTCACCGCACACACACGGGCCACCCGTGGAACCTTAACGCGCTCGTACGAGTCAATCGTTCTAGAAGTCTCCGTAAAGAAGAAATAGACTTCATCATCTCCGTCTTCATCCCCCCACTCGGCTGGACTCAAGGCCTCGGCTGCAACAAAGGCTGGGGCTGGGAGAGACCGGTGGCCTCAGCTCCCACAGACACAGCCTGGAGCCCCGCGGCCTCCACCTGTCCGTCCCGGGGGCATCCCTCCTCCTCTCCCCACCGTTAAGCCAGGAAGGCAAGGTCTCTGTCCGAATCCAGTCCTCAGCACGACCCGCAGCCCGGGAGATAATCGGCTCCGTCCCCAGGTAGTTTTTCACAGTGGCAGCATAGAGGACCCCCCCTGCAGGGTGACAGGGAAGAGACAGGCTGTCAGGGACCCACCTAGGGAAGCAACAGGTCACAAGCAGGGCAGGGAATAAAGCCAGGCAGAAACTCTCAAGAGCTGAGCTCTGCAGATTAAGTACTGGGCACTAAGCACATGACAGACATCACTCACTTAAAATCAATGTAGAAACAAAGTGCTCCAGGGCAGCAGGGGGCCAGTGTTAGGGGAAGACACAGCGTTAAGGCATCGGTAATGTGGAAGAAGGGAGAATAAAGACTACGTGCCTTGTGGAAATTAGGAAATTTTTGTTTGCTGGTTTGTTTTTTAGTTATTTGGGAGCTTTCTCTATCCCATAATGTGCTGAGACTGCAGGAAGGGCGTCTGCTTTACAGCGTGTACCAAGCTGACTTAGTTCTCCCACTTAAGTCAATGGTAAATGTCTGAAGGAACTGGTGCTTTTTCCCAATGCCAGTGAGTGTACACTGCTCTGGAACAGGACACAACTCCAGGGTAAACTCGAATCATTCAGGGAAATGATCAAAATACAGATTCCTGGGCCCAGCAATTCTCACTTGATAGATTTAGGGGGTGACCCAAGAACTGAGTTTCGAACAATAAGCTGCTGTTACCCTGTCTTTGAGGGACACCAGCCTTGCGGATGAACGATGTCCAACAGCCAGGAGCAGCAGTGAGGAACCAGATCCTCTTGCTGTGGAATGGAGGGGCTGAGGTGCTCTTGGGATGGTGGGGATAGGAGAAGAGAGAAATCATAAACACTCTGGGAAGGAAGGGGAGGTGGAGCTCTACGGGCTGAAAACTACAGGCAATCTGAGGAACACTGTCAAGGGCTAAGAAATGAGCAGGAGAAAACTATTCAGGCAGTAGCAGAAGGTCACCAACTCCTGGAGGAGTTGTGTCACAGGGACCCTGGAGAGAACAGAGTGGCATTCTTTCACCACCTACTACACTGGGCCCCTGCCCCCATGAACCGCCATGTGAATCCAGAAGATAAATGTATAATCAGAGACCAGGAGGCATGGACTAATAGATGTGTGGGGGTAATTCAAAGGAGGACTCAACCACATCTAAGTGGGGAAGCAGCATCTCAGAGGTGACATGTAGCTGGGTCTGAAGAAAGAGGAATTTGCCAAGTAGAAGGACTTCAGGGAGGAAGACAAGCAAGTGGGGAAGAGGAGAGCCATGTTCAGGGGCATGGAGCACTCCCTGTGGTGGCAGCTCAGAGGGGCACATGGGGCTGCCAGGCAAGTGAGCAGAGATGAAGCTGGAGATGTAGAGATGAGTCTGCTCTGCCACGCCAGGGAATGTGGACTTGGTCTTCACGGTGGGAGTAAAACTGCAGAGATTTTCTTGAGGAGAAGAGTGACATAATTAGTTTTGGTTTTGAAGAAGATAATGCCAGTTCAAAGGCCATTCACACAGTCCAGGCAGTGGAGGGCCTGAACTGAAGCAGCACAGGAATAAAGGGGCCGGATTTGGGAGACATTTCTGAGGCAGAAGCCATTAACAAGATTTGAAAATCAATTCAATATGGGACATAAAAGAATGGAATAAAATAATGTTTCTAAGTTTTTCAGCTTATAAGATGGATAGCAGATGGTAATATGAACAAAGCCAGAACATGACAGAAGGCCCATAAAGGAAAGGAGGTGGTTGGAAAGGAAGGGAGTTCAGGTGTTGGACATGTTAAGGTTGAAGTGCCGCCAGGACATCTGGTTGGAGGTTCTGGAAGGCAATCAAACGGAAGGATCTGGGCAGCAGGACCAGTCAGGTAGCTCGGGAGTCATGCTTAAGTCATGACATGAATGTGACAGCCAGGCAGAAAGGGACAGTGAGAAGAGAGCCCTGGTACATCACCATTTAACAGAGAAACTACTGAAGACGACTGCAAAGATCAAGTCAGAGAGGCTGGAGAAGTAAGCGAGGCCGGTAGGCTGGAAGCTGGAGCGTGGAAACCCCAGCAAGAGCCATGGGGGCTCACACTACTGGAGGCGGCAGTACTGAGCAGAGCCACTGTGAAGCACCATCACCCTGGGGCCACAGATTCTCAAACGAAGCTGCCGGTCTCAGGCACTGGAAAGGTAACCACTACTGAAACAGTTCATGCAGAATAAAAAAGGATCAGGAGCCTTCTGAGGACAGCAGTGGAAGGTTAGAAATGCCCTGTGGGGAGACTATTCTGTGTCGTGAAATTGTAAAAAGAATCCAAGTGTTTTGGAGTCAGAAAGGTGTAGCTTTTGATCCTGAGTACTTTTTAGTTGTGTGATCTCTGTTAACTTTCCTAAGCCTCAGGTTCTTCACACATGGAATGGAGATAACACCACCTTCCACTCAGAGCAGTGAAGAGAGTTAAGTGAGGTAACAAATACAGAGGCCCAGGTAGGGCCTGGCACACGGCTGGCATTCAATACATGTGAGTCACAGCTTCTTAAGGAACCTCAAGGGGCCACGCCTGGCTTGTTGCCAGAAGGTGGGAGGCACCATGAAATGGCACCCCATTCCCTTCTGGAGTATTTCAGGAGGGAGAAAACCGGGTGTGGGACACAGGTCCTGGCAACAATGGAGCAGCCAATGAGCCAATCCTCTATACTTCCAAAGGGGGGAAAGTTGACACAGAAGCCAGAGTTGGAAAGAAAATTTTCCCTCAGCACATTGTTCACAAACACTCCAGATCCAAAACTGGCAGAAGCTGTGTCAAGGACTCCCTGAGACTGGAGGGAGATGTGGTGGAGGAGGGAGAGAGAGAATATTTGGGGAGCATGATTTGGGGGGTGGGGGGTGGCACAATCATAAATATTCCAGAAACAGCAAATGACCACAGATAATGATGCAAGGACCCAGTGGTGGATGGAGGCAGATGGTCCCAAAATTTTCTACAGGACCAATGAGGGCATCAGCAACTCTGGAGCCTAAAATGCTCATGAGCACAAGCACCCAGGGTGGAATAGCAGAGGGTCATTGATGACACAGCAGGAGGGATCAGACACTGTGGGAGGAAGTAGCAGGGTTCCAGGAGCTCCAGGAACACCAGAGTGCCTGCAACACAGTCCTACGCACACACACAGAGGGGAAGGAACAGCAGCCATCACAGTCCTGAGGGCAGGAGTGCACAGGAGGACACAGGATCACCACATGTCCTAGATTCTCCAGAACAGCCTCAATTTCAAATATTCTGTGGTGCTGCTCACATTATAAAACAGCCCTGTATGTGCAATTGTTTAGCAAATTATTACTGAATGGATCAAGTCAGTAAACATGAAAACACACATTTGCTATTGGCAAAAGATGAGTGCCAAAGACAGTGATGTCCATGGTGCTGAGTGCAGTGAACAAGCTGGTTAGAAAAAAACATGTATTCAACTCTGTATTTTTAAAAACATGTAGGACATGTCTGCATAACTCTACAGTGTCAATGATGTTTCTATCTCACTAATGGAATTACAAGTGATTTTAATTTTCTGATTTCTACTTTTTTGTATTCTGTTTTTGTAAGCATCTTTTATTCTTATAACCCCCAAAATTAGGATGTTTTCATTTTGGAAATATAAAAAAAAATCAAAAGCTCAAAAATCACAAAAGATGAGGAAAAATCAGTCAAAGAAAAATCACAATTATGTGTGGAAATAGATCTCTACTTGCCCTAAGTGAACATAGGCCTCCCAGATGTGTTAACAACTAATGCTGACAAGCTCAGATACATGTCATGGCAGTGAATATTTCACTATACCCTAGGGGTTTAAATTTTTCACTCTGGTATCAAATGTTCACTTTTAAAGGTTTAAAATAGGAATTACCATTCATTAGCTTTAAAAAAGGAGGATTTTAAACATGCCCTAGACAAGCTTCCTCCATTCCCCTTTCCTCTCATGGTCAGGGCTTTACAGAATAATACATTGCTTCTACCCTAACATTCTCCATTTCTTTACCTAAGGATTAGGCTAGCTGGATACTGTTTGTTTTTTGTTTTATGTTTTTTGTTTTTGTCAAGACAAAATATTTTTAATGATGGTTAGTTTAACTTTTCTTTACAATCTTGGTACTATGTAGCAAACATTACCACCCATCTATGGATACTGTTTTTTTAAACAGGATATAATTAGTTGGAGATACAGTGTTTATTCTGCCTTTTCCTCTGTTGGACATACAGGATTTCTGCAACTGCCTTGTTTCCGTGTGTGAATGCTAGTCTTGGGGCAGACACACCTGGGTAGGCTTGGCCCCAAAATGCTGGCAGCACTGAGGGCATCTGGAACATTTGCAGTACGCCCTGGCAGATGCAGTAATCGCAAGATGCAACGAGACCAAAAGGAGAGGATGAAAACACAGGATGGGTTACCAAAGAAAAAGGGCAAAAGCTTCTTCCAGCTCTTTTGGATAAAAGCTGTATTTATTATAGGATGTGATGACTGCCTGCCATCTCTAGCTTGGGTACCTGGATGAGTAATGGCACTATGCACTCAGAGGAGGGGACACTGGTTAGAGGAGTAGGCTTTGGGGAGGAGAGTGAAGAGGATGAGCTCAGTTTGGGACATGCTGATTTTGAGAGTTTAAGTGGAAATGTCTGGAATGTGGTCTGTAGCTCCAGATAATGTCTGGGTGGTATCAGAAGGCTATGGAAACAGAATCCACAGGGAGGGTTTGGAGAGCTTTGGAAGGCATCAGATTTGGGAGGCATCAGAATGTAGTGAAAACAGAAACTACAAAGCTGCTTAAAATCACAACTACATACAACAGAGAAGACAAGAGGATCTTAGGTAGAAGTCTAAGGAACTCCAACATTTAAAGAATGAGCGGAAGACGGAGACCCTACAAAGGAGACTAAATAGGAATTGCCAATGTTCTTGGGCTAAGGTGAATGCTCTTGTAAAAATATCTCCATTTTTCTAAATTGAAATAGTACAAATAGAGACACTGAGATCATTTTGATAATTTTACCCAATTTCAGTACAGATAAGTGTGATATTTAAAGACAAGGTTTCTGAGGCTTTTTCTTAAAGAAATAAAAGCACCAATAAACATAGGAAAAATTGTTCAATCTCACTAACAGAGATGCAAATAAAAATATATCAAATTGGACTTTGGAAGAGGTCACCGTATGCTTATTAACTATATTACTCAGGACTGACAAGGTTGCAATGAAACAAGGTTCTCTCATCACTGCTACTGGGGTCGTCGACTGGGGAGCAATTTAGCAAAATCCATCAAGCACTATAAAAATCTTTACATTCTTTGGCCCAGCAACCTTACTTTTTAGATGAACTTATATGCAATTAATTCAACCAATTCATGTAGATGATTTACATAAACATTTATATAAAAGGATTTCTTCTGCAACATTATTTATAAAAGCAATAATTTGTTTTAAAATTTAAATACATTATATGGGAATAATTAAATTGTGCTATATTCATGTGATGGAAGAATATGCGACCACTAAAAATCATGTTTTGAATATTTAAACAATCTCTATGATGAGAAAATGCTCAGTATATGACATTAAGTGAAATATGCATGGTGATTCCAATTTATTATAAATTCACACATACACAGTAGAACATTATTTCCAAAATAATAGCAGTGGTTACCTGATGATGACTGAATTACAAAGAAACTTTTCAATTTCTTCTTTATACATTTCCATACTTTCTCGATTTCCTACAATGCACATTGTAATTTTTATAATTTAAAATAAGAAATACTCTTGCTAATATTTTCTAATAATATTCTCATTACTAAAGCTCTTCTTCTTATTTCAAAACACTTCTATAATCCTTAAAGACATTTTTACAGACCCTAACTAGGTATTTTGGTTCTAGTTTTTACATAATGTTGCCACTATTTTCTATACTGTTACTTTCAAACCAGAGGGGAGGCAGGGCATAATGGATCAACATTGAAAGCTCCAACTGAACACTGGTATTTATGTCAGACCAAGAAAAAATTTAAGTTATAGCCCTACAAGTAAGAGCTGCAGAGGAAAATTAATAATATTGGTATTGACTATGATTTGGATCTGAGACAGAAAGAGACATGGAGTTTCTATGTTAACTGTTTAAAGCTAGCCGTTCTAAACTGCTAGAAAATGATTTTGGATGACTCCATTAATTATCAACAGAATTTCTCTTTAAAAAGATTTGAAACCTTTTTGTAAAATGTTCTTCCTTTTTGAAAACATTCCTTGTCATACAATAATCTTATTTATGAACTGTGTATTCTTAAACCACACGCTAATGCAAATTCACTTTCTGATTCTAACATGAAGTACACACAGAAGGCTGAATGAACATAAAGATTACTGCTTAAAACAAAGAAAGTATGTTAACTGATTATCTTAGATTGTCATAATTGAGAAGTCACTTGGTTGAAAAACAATTACATAGAATAAAAAGACATTCATTCACAACTGCTAAAACTAAGTCCTTCTTAATGATCCCAAAGACTGGCTCCAAGTTTTGCCAAAGATGCTTGATAAAAATCCACAAAAAACTATTGACAGTTTAATTCAAATGTGTATGAGTATTAACAAGGTCTTATCAATTTCAACTGTAGATGTATGATAATGACAACCTACATATTCTATTTACTAGATATATCCTTAATGCTCATTTTCAAGAACTTACGCTATTACTTTTCATAAAAGATAAGTCATTAACTGTGTGACTAAGAATGATTTCATTTGTATGATTTCATAGCTTTTAAGACTTTTCCTACAAAGTCATGCATAAGAAAAAAATTTCATTGTTACATCTGGTATCCCAATTCTTGTTTTTCATAAAATATTGTCTGAAAGTATAGGTAAAGATGTATTTTACAATGAAGTTCACAGAAAAAGTCAGTGAAGAAAGAAAAAACCGTGCTATCAATGATGCTGAATCAACTGATCAGCTAGTTGGGAAAAATTAAGTTACATCCCCATCTCATGCCATTCATTAAAATACATTCCAAGTAAATCAAACAGTTAAATATTTAGAAAAAAAATTTTTTAAAAACAAAGTTTTTTATCTTCTGTCTAACTGAAGAAGAATTTAACTTTAAAAATACATAATCACAAAGGAAAAGATACAGATTAGAACACTAATATCCTACCTGATAATTGGCCCAAGAATATGAGCAGAGGATTTATCAAAGAGGAAATAAAAGTAAGTACTAAAACATGAAAAAATCATGTTCAACTTGACTAATATCCAAAGAAATACAAATTAAAACAAGGTGCCATTTTTAGCCTTATTTAGTGAATGTTTTTGAAAATGACAATACTATTCTGATAAAATTTATGTGAGAAAAAAACACTCTCATTCACTACAATTTAGGGTGTAAATGGCACACCCTTTCTAAGAAACTCAATTAGCAACAGATAATGAGCCATAAAATGTTCACACCTTTTGGTACAGTAATCCATTTCCAAGAACCTTAAGGAGACAATATAAGATGAGGACAAAATTTTATGCACAAAAATGTCCATTATAGTATTATGGATAATAGCAAAAACTTTGAAGCCAACTAAATATGCTTGGAAATAAAATTAATTTATATAAACAACTTGGAATTGTGTAAATTGTGAAGTGCTCCCAGGATGAGTCGCATAATAGCCTTAAAAACTCTCTTCACAGAGGATTTTTAAATTATATGGAAATCCTATGATATAAAATTACAAGACAAAATTCAAAATTAAATCCATGTAGCATGATGTTTAGAAGTTTTATAATACACAACACTCACAAAATTCGTATTAACTTGCTTATTTTACTCTATCATGAGAAAATGGCTGGATTCTCACCAAATTTGAAGGGTGTGGGCAGGGTAGTTTGACCTAAAATACAGGCTATGCAATTCACTTGTGGATGCCAAAGAACTGGGCAATCATTCTCCAAAAAGGTTTAGGCATAATCTATGACAGAACAATTCCACACTGAGCAACCATATATCTTGTTCAAAGGAAGTAACAACAGAATTTATTTAACAGTTATTACTGATTCCTCTGAGCAACAAAGGATTGGCAGCAAAATCTATGTGCATGAGTATATATGCCATGTGCACACCCACATCACAAAAGCTAGAAAAAAAATCCTAGCACAAGACCCATGCAGCTATCTATATTTAAATTAAAATTAAATAACATTTAAAATTCCTTCCTTCAGTCAAACTAGTCAGGGCTATTGTTCTAGGGCTCAAGAGCCCCATGTAGCTGGTAGCTATCATACTGGACAGCACAGATATAGAACATTTCCGTGTCACACAAAGTTCTTTTGGACAGTGTGGTTCTATGTTTCTTATGTTCTTCTTTATACTTTTTCCAAGTTTATTACAATATGCATTATAGTACATTCCTCTTATACATAGAAAAAAAACACTATGAGAAAAGAAAACAAGGTCAACAGAGGAAACACTCAGACTAGAGGTATAGAGGACACATCCTCTAGAGAGAACCCAAGGACTAATACTTTGGGAAAAGGAGGAGGACACAGGCACTCTGGGAAGAACAGGACAGGCTCAAAAGAGACATGGAAATAATAGACATTCTGAGGAAAGGAAGAAAGGCCAGAGAAATGCCAACAGCAGAGGTGGTGAGGTAGCAGTTACAGCAAGAAGTAAAGTTCTTGTCTATCCCCACTCACCAGCCATTACAGCTGCTGACCGCTGAGCTGGCTCAAAAGGACATTTCCCCCGGCCACTCTCAAGTCTTTCAACCTGCCGGAAACTGGACACATCCTACAGACCAGAAGGGTGCAGTGGGTTGAGGGGTGATGGGGTGGGTCATGGTGAGAATTACAAAGATGATCAGATAAAGGACAAGCCCAGTACCCATTCATCTCCCATTCCTCCACTACCATCCTCATATTCCCAGTCTGCTCTTCATGCTTCCCCCACCCAATCCTGCATTTCCCATCTCTGCCATCCCTCTTTTCATCAATATATTCCTCTTCCCTCAATTACCAGTGCCCCAGTCCCCCCACATGCTCTGATGATGGAACACCTCAGATAGCCCTAGGAGACACTAAGAGGCTGAAGGCAGGTCTTTCCTCTGAAATGCTGCTGAATTGCAAGGTTTGCAACTGGCTGGAGAATGTGCTACAGGACAAAGAGAACCATGGAAGAAAGTAGGCCTCCTGAGGGCTGAGCTCTTAGAAGAATTAAGTGAGGGCTGGTATAGGACCATCTGGGGCCCAGGGATCTAGAGGGAAAGGTCATCCTCCCCCTGCCCCAGCCCAGGGATAAAAGACAACACCAGAGTTAAGGATCCATGGAATGGGGGAAGGGAACCTGCAAAGTCAGTGAAGACCACTGGCTCAGGTCAGAATCTGAGGATTTGTTAAGTAACTGCGTTCCTCACCCAGGGACTGCAGGACTGACCTGGCAGAAGCGAGGAGTATTCCACCAGGGCCAACCAGAAGCTACCTTAGGTGGGCAGCTGACACTAAGAGAGGCTCCAAGATAACATCTACAAGTGGAAATCGGGGAAGCTTTCAACCTATGGCAGGAAAGTTAACTGTGGCCGATTAGGAATCAAAGTTATGGCATGGACACACCAGGCATGGTTAACGATTTAAGTGAACATTTGGTGTTGCTGAAGTTTGATTGCTTTGATGGTAGTTGACTCCAACATAGATATAGATCCTCTGGGAATAAATATATACTGGTCCATTCTGACTGCTCTTTGGTATAGTTGGCAAACTAGGTTTTATTTTAAGGAGAGAGACTTGAAGAGGCCTGTTAAAATTAGATGTGGGCTGAGGTCCCCAAAATAGGAATACTGGGTCACAAGAGTCTTCTGGAATAGAGGACCCCACAGCGGCACAAGCACCTCACTTGTGTGGCAGTGGGAGCATCTGAGCCTGAGGAGAAAGACGGGAGTTCTGTGAGGGATCACCAACACTTGTGGGCACTCCGGCATAGAATTATACCTGCTGCGTGCCCTTCCCACCTCACACCTAAACCAAGACAGTAACCTCCTTCTCTCTACCCTGTCTAGCCCCACCATCAATTTGCTCTACATATCTACCCCAAATTAATATTTTTAGAGTATCAGTCACTGACTCGATAAATCTTTGAGCAGGAAAATGACAAAAGGGCTCACCATTGTCTGGAGTGCAAACTCTTCAGCCCAAATTACTTATTTTCTAATACTTCTCAAAATAAACTCTTTCTTCTAACCAAACCTGGACCACTTGTTATTCCTAGAAAAAAAATTGTGTTTTCCCATCTCAGTACCTGAGACTGTTCCCTAACACTTCCCCAGAGACTAACAAGATGAGCCTTTTCTCAGGTCTCATTCTCTTTAATCTTTATGCAGCATTTGATACTTTTGACTCACTCCCCTCCTTCAAATATTCTATTTCTTGATTCTCTTGGAACTCTGCCTTTCTGGGGTCCTTCCTCCTACTTGTCATTTCTCTACCTCCTTTTGTTGTTTCTCTTTTCCTTTCTGGCATCTACCTGTCTATCCTAAGGACCCATCCTAAGTCCTTGTCACATATACTTCAACGATCTCATTTATACTTACATTTCCAGGCATAGTTTCCATGCATATCATTCCCAAACTCTAACCCATGTTTGCACATGACCACCATACTTCCTCACAGAGATGGCCTATCAGCCCACAAAGCTACATGTCAAATCTAATCCTCCTGCAGTTTCCCCAATTAACATTTTCATATTATTTCAGTTTATAAACTTTGAGCAAGTGAGCCTCCTATTAACTAGATATGTTAGGGTTATTTTCTAGGTAAAGTAGATTTACTAGGGTCTGAGAGGGAGGGGCAAGACCACACCACTGCATTCCCTATCTGACTGCACTGCACTGTCACTGTGGCTGTCAGCAGTCTCTCCACATCAGTTGTAGGGAAGGCAAGTCCCTGAAGCCAAAAGAGAGGTGGGTAAGGAAGGCATTCACTGAGCTGCGGAGTTGGAACCGACTCTTTGGCCCTGGCCAAGAAGGGTACCAGACATATAAAGGATCTTCCCCAGGTGGTTAGGAAGGAAAAACAAGCTAGTCCCTGTTTTATGAAACAGGTCAAATGTCACAAGAAACTGAAACCCGGTTAAGTCTTCTATACTGCATGCTGGTCTAAAGGGACAGAGTGGCGGAGCAGGGCCAGACAAACAAACCTGGATTTGGATCCTGACTGCCTCTGCCAGCTATATAATCCTAGCCATGGTCCCTAGCTTTTCGGAACTTCCATTTCCTTGCCTGTAAAATGGAAATAAATAATACCTAAATATCATGATGTGGTGATGAGAATTAAACCCAACTGTGAATCTAAGGAACCGAGCACCAAGGCCGGGGCAGAGCAGCTGCTTGGTTGAATGGGAGGTCTCACAGCCATGGTTCTTGTTGTAAGTCTAACAGTTTTCTCTGTTAACTGCTGAAGCTCCCTCAACAAAGCAAACTAAAATATTTTCCTCCAGTGTCTGATGAGCTGTCACTGAAGGGCAACGCTCCACATTGTTGGAGCTGGTAAGTCCAGGGCTTGAACTTCCTTTTGTAAGAACCTTCATTTCTCCAAACAATCAACTCTGAGCAACTTGTACCTGGATCAGCTGGTCAGAGCTCTCAGCTAAGAGTTCTGCATAGTGTCAAAGTCATCAGCCTGGAACATGACAGGATCAGCACTAGGGATAAGGCAAGAACTTGCTCAAGAAGATGGAGGTTGCCAAGTAGCAGGATAAGACAGCTAGAGGCAGAAGAGAGTGCTCAGGAAGCCTAGAGGGCAGTCTCCATTTGTGGCTTGAAGGGTTAACACAGCTCATTTTGGGGGGCTGTGCCCTATATTCTCCTGCAAACAAGCCTTGACCAAAGGAATCCCCTTCATTTCATGAGTCTGCTAGACAGGAGGGTTCAGAGAAAGAGCTGAAAGTCAGAGGAGTGTAGGACACAGATTCCCGGCTTCACTTTTAGTTACTAAAGTTCCCTAAGAGTGGATAGGGGGTCCACATCACACCAATCCAGACAGCTGTGTCCAGAACAGAGTATTTATCTAACAACCATTAGAGTCCCACCTCAGAGAGCCAAGGAAGAACAGAAGGCCCTGGGAGACTAACTTGAAGTGATCATACTATCTATAAGTCATGGCTCTTCTTTTCATATCCTTGGGCTTTTCACTGCAGACTGGAAAAAAGACAAATACGGTGAAGGCAGTTCCTCTGCTACTTTCTGAGCTTCACGAGAACTACCCTGATATTACCTGATGAGACACAGAGATTTTCAATGCCACCCTGAACTGAGAACCCTTCCAGGATGGGGGAGCTAGCCACACCCTAGGAGGGGGTCTATCTTCCTCATTATGAAAAGGACTTGGTGTAAGCCCAACTTCCCCCAAGGGCAGCCCAGAGGGACTGACTGGATAATCAAACACATACAACTCTAGCATGCAAAGCCAGAGATGTGGGAATGGTCTCTAACAAAGAGGGATTTGGAGGTATACAGAGACTAGATCTAGGTGGCAAGAATTACTGCACATTGCAGAAGGCTCAGAACAAGATGTAGTTCTGGATCAGGGTCAGGAAAGGGAGTCATTGCACTCATCCTATTGCTCTATGGAACAGAACGGGAAACCACTGAACACAAGGTCCTGTGAGGCTTCTGACTCATCCCAGTCAAAAGCTGGGATATGTGCTGTCACAAATGTGCACTGCCAAAGGACCAATGACTAACTACTGGATAACTGATAGGAAAAGCTGAGGGTTCAAAAACATTAAGACCTTTCCTGAGATGTCACCAGTTTCAGGGACTTTTGAGGCCATGACTAGCCCAGATGTGATAAGTGGTATAATGTTCCAAGCCTGCCTGCGTAGGAGAGTATGGAGATGCCTGGGGCTTCAGCAGCAATGTTGACAGAATGCCCACCTTGAAGGCAAGAGCCAGAATAGGGCCAGCAGGTAGTATGGTAGTGGGCAGTGACCTCAGAAGCCATGAGAGCAGAGAGTCACAGCCCACACAAAATGAGGCTGGCAGTGGAAGTGGTGAGAGACAGTCACATGAAATGGGATGAAGAAACAGGCATGGACTACGCTCATTAAGAAACAGACCTAGGCCACCTAGACAAGAATACTCAGGGCAAGAGAAACATGAGTTACTGGCCTCTGAAGTCTCTCCTGGATTACCCTCTCCCTAGCCTGGCTAGCATCCCTAACTTACTTCCTTCCTTTCTTCAACCATGTCTCTCTTTACACTTTACCGCATTTCCTACAGACAACCTCCCCCGCCATCCCTTTCCTCCCCTCCTTCAGCGGCAAGGCTCCACCCTGTAAGGACATCCCTCACCCATGGTGCTTATCATGCACAAGGGTTGCCTTAGGCATGCCCTCCATCACGGTCCCTCACAGAAGACCCTTCCCACCCTCCCACCACTGTCACTCACAATAAACCCGCACTTCGGATCAAAAGCGAAGGTACCACAAGTGAGGAGGTGAGAGGCATTGGCAATGGCGAGAATCTGGACAAAATTGTGACATTCATCCTGGGGGCCAGAGATGGTTACAGAGAATCAGAAGCAGCGGATACAAGGAAAGGCAGGGTAGTGTCAGGACAGTTAGATGCAGCCCTGGGATCAGAAATGACAGGTGATGTTAGAGTCCCTGCCTGGGCCCACTGGGATGGGAGCAATGTGGGGACCCACACAGTCAGGGCTCGGCCAAGGTCTCACTTGACTCAGAAGAGGGCCCAGATTTACACTTACCTCCTTCTTGCCTTTCTTCCTACAGTTCTGTCTGTGGGCTTCAGGCACTGTCCAGTCAATCTGAGAAAGGAAAAGTAACCATTTCCCCCAGGTCCTCCCCAAACTCCTCCCAAGTCAGCACAGGTTAAGGCAGTTCCACAATCTCCATCATTAAGATCCTCGTCCCCACGGCACCGGTTTTCAAACTGTGGATCTCCACCCACTACTGAGTAGTGAAATTGCCACCATTATTTTTAATGAAATAGAATCTATCAGAATATATCACATATAGGAGAGCAGACATTGTTTCAAAAAAGGTTTCTTTAAGTAAATAGCCTGTGCATAATTGGGTCCAAATGTACCATATATTTCTTACTAAGGGGTGGTGAAAAGAGTTTGAAAGCTAGTGCCCTTGAGAAGTGTGATTCTAAGGATTCCTCTCCCCACTGGCATCTGGCCTGGTCACTAGGCCTCCCCCATCATCATGAACCTCCCTCATAGTCTCCCCAGCCACTGTGACCCCCCTCAGCTGAGAAAATGAAGTTGATAATCTCCCAATATTCATTTTCATCAACTCCCCCTCCTACCACCAACACTCTTACATCTTTAGTTATTATGAACACCCCCTCACATTCCATAAAACCATGGATTTAATCGCATGCTTGGGAGTCCTCCCAACTTTTGTCTCTCACCCTGCGGGATCTCTCCCCTGAGAAAGGCAGAGATAAAGCAAAGATGGTGTCCCGGGCACCAACATAAAGTGTGTGGGAAGCAGGATCCACAAGGAGAACAGAGTAATTGTACGTCTGAGGGACGGTGAACCGGGTGAGATAGGAGTCAGCCTCTGGCAGAAAGAGAGGGTAAGAGGGGAGAATGATATCAGCCATTGCTTCATAAGGGTTGGGACCACAAGGGCAAAGCCAAAAGGACTAAGTTTTGTTTTCTTCTAAGAACCATTTGTTTAGCAGCAACCAGGGGTGAAAACAGAGCCTGGACAGATCAGCTATCTATCCTCTGGAGAGGCAGATAACTGATGAGGTCAGAATATTTAGCACACCAGTCAAGTATGCTTTTTTCTATAAAAATAGAACACTTTTAAATTAACAGCATAAATATTAAGTCTGTGATTTCTATTCATAGCAACATGATACATAATTTGAAAAAGCCAAGTAGCAGGATAAGACAGCTAGAGGCAGAAGAGAGTGCTCAGGAAGCCTAGAGGGCAGTCTCCATTTGTGGCTTGAAGGGTTAACACAGCTCATTTTGGGGGGCTGTGCCCTATATTCTCCTGCAAACAAGCCTTGACCAAAGGAATCCCCTTCATTTCATGAGTCTGCTAGACAGGAGAGTTCAGAGAAAGAGCTGAAAGTCAGAGGAGTGTAGGACACAGATTCCCGGCTTCACTTTTAGTTACTAAAGTTCCCTAAGAGTGGATAGGGGGTCCACATCACACCAATCCAGACAGCTGTGTCCAGAACAGAGTATTTATCTAACAACCATTAGAGTCCCACCTCAGAGAGCCAAGGAAGAACAGAAGGCCCTGGGAGACTAACTTGAAGTGATCATACTATCTATAAGTCATGGCTCTTCTTTTCATATCCTTGGGCTTTTCACTGCAGACTGGAAAAAAGACAAATACGGTGAAGGCAGTTCCTCTGCTACTTTCTGAGCTTCACGAGAACTACCCTGATATTACCTGATGAGACACAGAGATTTTCAATGCCACCCTGAACTGAGAACCCTTCCAGGATGGGGGAGCTAGCCACACCCTAGGAGGGGGTCTATCTTCCTCATTATGAAAAGGACTTGGTGTAAGCCCAACTTCCCCCAAGGGCAGCCCAGAGGGACTGACTGGATAATCAAACACATACAACTCTAGCATGCAAAGCCAGAGATGTGGGAATGGTCTCTAACAAAGAGGGATTTGGAGGTATACAGAGACTAGATCTAGGTGGCAAGAATTACTGCACATTGCAGAAGGCTCAGAACAAGATGTAGTTCTGGATCAGGGTCAGGAAAGGGAGTCATTGCACTCATCCTATTGCTCTATGGAACAGAACGGGAAACCACTGAACACAAGGTCCTGTGAGGCTTCTGACTCATCCCAGTCAAAAGCTGGGATATGTGCTGTCACAAATGTGCACTGCCAAAGGACCAATGACTAACTACTGGATAACTGATAGGAAAAGCTGAGGGTTCAAAAACATTAAGACCTTTCCTGAGATGTCACCAGTTTCAGGGACTTTTGAGGCCATGACTAGCCCAGATGTGATAAGTGGTATAATGTTCCAAGCCTGCCTGCGTAGGAGAGTATGGAGATGCCTGGGGCTTCAGCAGCAATGTTGACAGAATGCCCACCTTGAAGGCAAGAGCCAGAATAGGGCCAGCAGGTAGTATGGTAGTGGGCAGTGACCTCAGAAGCCATGAGAGCAGAGAGTCACAGCCCACACAAAATGAGGCTGGCAGTGGAAGTGGTGAGAGACAGTCACATGAAATGGGATGAAGAAACAGGCATGGACTACGCTCATTAAGAAACAGACCTAGGCCACCTAGACAAGAATACTCAGGGCAAGAGAAACATGAGTTACTGGCCTCTGAAGTCTCTCCTGGATTACCCTCTCCCTAGCCTGGCTAGCATCCCTAACTTACTTCCTTCCTTTCTTCAACCATGTCTCTCTTTACACTTTACCGCATTTCCTACAGACAACCTCCCCCGCCATCCCTTTCCTCCCCTCCTTCAGCGGCAAGGCTCCACCCTGTAAGGACATCCCTCACCCATGGTGCTTATCATGCACAAGGGTTGCCTTAGGCATGCCCTCCATCACGGTCCCTCACAGAAGACCCTTCCCACCCTCCCACCACTGTCACTCACAATAAACCCGCACTTCGGATCAAAAGCGAAGGTACCACAAGTGAGGAGGTGAGAGGCATTGGCAATGGCGAGAATCTGGACAAAATTGTGACATTCATCCTGGGGGCCAGAGATGGTTACAGAGAATCAGAAGCAGCGGATACAAGGAAAGGCAGGGTAGTGTCAGGACAGTTAGATGCAGCCCTGGGATCAGAAATGACAGGTGATGTTAGAGTCCCTGCCTGGGCCCACTGGGATGGGAGCAATGTGGGGACCCACACAGTCAGGGCTCGGCCAAGGTCTCACTTGACTCAGAAGAGGGCCCAGATTTACACTTACCTCCTTCTTGCCTTTCTTCCTACAGTTCTGTCTGTGGGCTTCAGGCACTGTCCAGTCAATCTGAGAAAGGAAAAGTAACCATTTCCCCCAGGTCCTCCCCAAACTCCTCCCAAGTCAGCACAGGTTAAGGCAGTTCCACAATCTCCATCATTAAGATCCTCGTCCCCACGGCACCGGTTTTCAAACTGTGGATCTCCACCCACTACTGAGTAGTGAAATTGCCACCATTATTTTTAATGAAATAGAATCTATCAGAATATATCACATATAGGAGAGCAGACATTGTTTCAAAAAAGGTTTCTTTAAGTAAATAGCCTGTGCATAATTGGGTCCAAATGTACCATATATTTCTTACTAAGGGGTGGTGAAAAGAGTTTGAAAGCTAGTGCCCTTGAGAAGTGTGATTCTAAGGATTCCTCTCCCCACTGGCATCTGGCCTGGTCACTAGGCCTCCCCCATCATCATGAACCTCCCTCATAGTCTCCCCAGCCACTGTGACCCCCCTCAGCTGAGAAAATGAAGTTGATAATCTCCCAATATTCATTTTCATCAACTCCCCCTCCTACCACCAACACTCTTACATCTTTAGTTATTATGAACACCCCCTCACATTCCATAAAACCATGGATTTAATCGCATGCTTGGGAGTCCTCCCAACTTTTGTCTCTCACCCTGCGGGATCTCTCCCCTGAGAAAGGCAGAGATAAAGCAAAGATGGTGTCCCGGGCACCAACATAAAGTGTGTGGGAAGCAGGATCCACAAGGAGAACAGAGTAATTGTACGTCTGAGGGACGGTGAACCGGGTGAGATAGGAGTCAGCCTCTGGCAGAAAGAGAGGGTAAGAGGGGAGAATGATATCAGCCATTGCTTCATAAGGGTTGGGACCACAAGGGCAAAGCCAAAAGGACTAAGTTTTGTTTTCTTCTAAGAACCATTTGTTTAGCAGCAACCAGGGGTGAAAACAGAGCCTGGACAGATCAGCTATCTATCCTCTGGAGAGGCAGATAACTGATGAGGTCAGAATATTTAGCACACCAGTCAAGTATGCTTTTTTCTATAAAAATAGAACACTTTTAAATTAACAGCATAAATATTAAGTCTGTGATTTCTATTCATAGCAACATGATACATAATTTGAAAATACCTATAAAGGGAAATGCTTCATTCTTTTCACCAACACATTAGAAGTCTATCTCCTCTCTCTCCCAGTACTCCTGTCCTCCCTTCCCCACTCCCTCCATCTCCACCCAAAGAGGTAAAGAAGGCAAGTGCTTTGAAAATGAATCAGCCCAAGTTTAAATGTGGCTCTTTCACTTACCAGCTGTATGATCTTGCATAAGTTACTTGCCCTCTCTGAGAATCACTTACTTCATGTGTGTACCACCACCAACCAGGGTTGATGAAAGAATAAATGAGATAATATACATGGAAGCATCTGACACAAACTACAGGTTTCAAAAATGGTTTATTTTTTCCTTCCTTAGGCATATGCTCCATTTTGGCCAAATCTAAACCTCATGTCAGCATTCAAAACTCTATTTAAAGATTATAACAAATAAATTAGCATGAATTTACCTTCTTAGCTCAACCTCTGGCTCTGAGACCCTATCCTTGCACCAATACATCTCTACTCTACTTGCTTCATCTGCTCAGCCGCCTTCAAGATTGACAGAATGGCCACCAGCCATTCATGCCTAGATGTACTTTTATGGAGCCCCGCCCACCCCAGCCTCCCACACTGACGCTCATGTCTGTGCTGTATCCCACCTACTCTCCTGTGCTTAATATAAGCCCTGGATCATCCAACCTCCCTTCACGTCCCCAACTCTGCTTCACCTTGCCATCCAGACCTCTCTGGATTCTTGGATACCAACCCAGCGTGGCAACCTCAGTTCCATGCTGTAGCTAGTGCTGCAGCACAAACTGAAAGCCTAGGCTCTGACCACAGCATCCCTATATGTCACTGGTCTGAACTTTAGACTATAATTCTATTACCCAGTTGTGCATTTTTGCCAAAGGGTTGTACTTTCAGTTTCTGGTTCTATCTGCCTGAGATGCTAACACTCAATGCCCACTGAGAAGAAAGAAAATAAGGTCCATGGTCACACTAATGCCCACACCACCAGAAAGCCTTTAAAGTGTGAATCATTCCAACGACTACTTTTAACCTTATGGCATCCCCTGGCTTCATCCACATCTCTTAAAAGAACTGTATCTCCCTCCTCCTTTCTACCTTCTGAAGACTTTAAAAATCACTTAAACATAATGTTAATTCAACTCATTGAATGGTTTCCCAACAGTCAATGTAGGGAATGCGCAGAGGGATCAGGTACATTGAGGAAATTGGGAGGGACGTGGTGGATCCGATCGTGGGGAAAACAGAATGGGGTGTGAGGTGAGAAGAATGGGTTAGGGAGATTAGGGCTGTGAGAATGGGGAAAGCCTGGGGAGTGGGGCAGAACTGATGATCAGGGTATTTGGGAAGTGGACAGACGGGAATGCTGAGCTGGAAACCAGAAGGATGGGTGGTTGGAATAGAATTAAAGACCAATAGGTTTGGAAGTAAAATGGGTATCAATCTGGCGTGACGGACACAGGTGTATTATACCGGAAGAGAGGAGTAAGAGAGGAAACTTCGAAATGGACGATCTCGGGCACCCCCATGCCCTCTCTGGGCCTCTGTGCCCGCGTCTGCACCAAGAGGGACTTAACTTTGCGGCCATTCTGCGAAAGAGGGGGCGGCGGAGCCGCCTGGGAGTGTGGTGGTAGCTGACGCTGGAAGCCGGGGCTGGGGGATCCCGCCCGGGTGCTGACGGGGAGTGGGCGGTGCGGTGCAGCAAGCCTAGCACGGAGCTGAGGGGCCCCCGGGTGCAGCTGCCCGGTGGGTCTGGAGTGCAGGTGGATGCTGGCACGTGCGGGCGGGACCGGGGCGCGGGGCCAAAGGCTGAGAGCGAGGGCACCCTCCCCTTACCGGAGATAGGAAGCGAGGTCCTAGGCACCGAGCGGGGAACGCTACCGGACACCGGGCCGCTCAGCACCGCCAGCATCAGCAGCAGGAAGGGCGAGGCCAGAGGCGGCCAGGGGCCCCCGCGCGGCCGCGTGACAAAGACCGGCATCGTCGGTTCCGCAAGGTCCCCTGGGGTGCGCCTTGCAACCTGCGAGCGGGGGCGCTGCGCCACGGGCCTCGGTCCCACTCGGATATCCTCGGCCCGATTCGGTCTGCGACTGCCGGACTAGGCGCAACCCAATCCCGCCCCTTCAAGAAGGGACCAATGGCAGGGATTATTTCGTCCTCCAACCAATCGGGGTTGGTGAAGACGGGGCTAAGGAGAAGCCCAATACAGATAGAGGCGGAGTTCTGTTCTGAAAGTGGGCTAGAGGTGTTGCTCCAGGTTGTCCAGCGGATTGTTTTGCTCAGACAGCTCCAAAAATTCAAATGCCTGTATCTGTAATAAGAGCGAAAATATGTGGGCACACACACCAAGTTTCTCAAGATTATTGCTTTGACTAGCATTTAACAAATAACTGCAAATAGATAATTGTAATACAAAGTGATTCATGTTTGCTGTAATAACGTTCAGTAAGTGCTCAGAGGGATAGGTTTTGCCTGAGCAAGGTTTTTCAGAAGTAACATTTGAACTGAGTGCTCAAGGATGAGTAGGCCTATGAGGGTGAGGGGCAAAGACTGTCTATTGAGATACCCACCTGGATACCCTACAGAGAAGACAAACACAGGGCTTGAGCATAACTCACTATCAGTCCCATCCCAATCCCTGGTCCTTCATCAAGCACTTGGTCCTCCAGTTTATCGCTTTTGCCGGTACTCCTTGCTTTCTCCTCTTTCATTCCCCCATTGTATTAGTTATCTAGGCTGCATAACAAGTGTAACAAATTAATATCAGAATTTAGTGTCTTAAAACAATAATAAACATTTATTATTTCTCCCAGCTTCACTGTGTCAGGAATTCAGGAGTAGCTTAGCCTGGTGGTTTAGCTTCCAGTCTTTCATGAGGTTACAGTCGAGTTACTGCATGGGGCTGCCGTCATCTGAGAGCCTGATTGGGACTGCATGATCCACTTCCTGGATGGCTTACTTTCATGCCTGGCAGTAAGCCTCAGTTCCTCTCCGTATGGTTCTCTCCATGGGTCTGCTTGAATATCCTCACAGAATAGAGTGGCTTCCTCAGAGCAAGAAATCCAAAAGAGCAAGGTGAAAACCACAATGTCTTTTATGACTTAGTCTCAGAAGTAACATACAATTCTACCATATGCCACTGGTTACTCAGGCCAACCCTGATACACTGTAGGAAGGGACTACACAAAAATAGAATACAAGGATTTATGAGGGCCATTTTGGAGGCTGGCTATGATATCCACGTAGTCACCATGTCCTGATATTTCTGACTCATAAATAACTAAAATTTATCCTTTCATTTCCATTAACACCATAGTTCAGGATTTAATCATTGCTCACCTAGCCTATGCAATAGTTTTATTAAAAAGAAAAACCTGCCACCAATCTCTCCCCTTGCAAATTATCATCAGGGTACTTGTTCTAAAATGCAAGTTCTGGTTCATTGATTCAGTAGTTATTGAAGACCTACTATATGTCCAGGCATTTTGTTAAACCAGAGATAAGAAGATGATTAGAATATAGTCTCCCAAACTCATTCTACGAGGCCAGCATCACTCTAATACCAAAACCAGGCAAAGATACCACAAAAAAAGAGAAACTACAGACCAGGATCCCTGAGGAACATAGATGCAAAAATACTCAACAGATATTAGCAAACCGAATTCAAAAATACATCAAAAAGATCGTCCATCATGATCAAGTAGGATTTATTCCAGGGATGCAAGGATGGAACAACATTCGAAAATCCGTCAACATCATCCACCACATCAACAAAAAGGACAAAAACCACATGATCATCTCCATAGATGCTGAAAAAGCATTTGACAAAATTCAACATCCATTCATGATAAAACCTCTCAACAAAATGGGTATAGAGGGCAAGTACCTCAACATAATAAAGGGTATATATGGCAAACCCACAGCCAACATCATACTTAAACAGTGAGAAGATGAAAGCCTTTCATTTAAGATCGGGAAAAAGACAAGGATGCGCATTCTCCCCATTTTTATTTAACATAGTTCTGGAGGTCCTACCTATGGCAATCAAACAACACAAAGAAATAAAGGGCATCCAGATTGGTAAGGAAGAAGTTAAACTGTCACCATTTGCATATGACATGATACTGACACAAAAAACCCTAAAAAATCCACGCCAGACTACTAGATCTAATATCTGAATTCAGCAAAGTTGCAGGATATAAAATTAATACACAGAAATCTGTTGCATTCTATCTCTATACGCTAATGATGAACTAGCAGAAAGAGAAATCAGGAAAACAATTCCATTCACAATTGCATCAAAAAGAATAAAATACCTAGGAATAAACCTAACCAAGGAAGTGAAAGACCTATACTCTGAAAAGTACAAGATACTCATGAGAGAAATTAAAGAAGATACCAATAAATGGACACACATCCCGTGCTCATGGACAGGAAGAATTAATATTATCAAAATGGCCATCCTGCCTAAAGCAATCTACAGATTCAATACAATTTCTATCAAAATAGCAACAGCATTCTTAAATGAACTAGAGCAAATAGTTCTAAAATTCATATTGAACCACAAAAGACCCCAAATAGCCAAAGCAATCCTAATAAGGAAGAATAAAGCTGGGGGGATTATGCTCCCCAACTTCAAGCTTTACTACAAAGCCACAGTGATCAAGACAATTTGGTACTGGCACACCAACAGACCCATTGACCAATGGAACAGACTAGAGAGCCCAAATATGAACCCAACCATATATGGTCAATTAATATATGATAAAGGAGCCATGGATATACAATGGGGAAATGACAGCCTCTTCAACAACTGGTGTTGGCAAAACCGGACAGCTACATGCAAGAGAATGAAACTGGATTATTGTTTAACCCCATGTACAAAAGTAAACTCGAAATGGATCAAAGATCTGAATGTAAGTCATGAAAACATAAAACTCTTAGAAGAAAACATAGGCAAAAATATCTCGAATATAAACATGATCAACTTTTTCCTGAACACATCTCCTCAGGCAAGGGAAACAAAATAAAAAATGAACAAATGGGACTACATCAAGCTAAAAAGCTTCTGTATGGCAAAGGACACCATCAGCAGAACAAAAAGGCACCCTACTACTCTACAAGAAGATATGGCAAAGAAATAATCAATCCTCCCATGTTTTCTTCCATATGCTACCTCTATAGCTTTTCTTCTTCCTTCCTAATTACAACCCTTAAATAGAATTCGTGCCTCATATCGAATTTACCGAGCATCATAATTCCTCCAGGTGGTAAAGATACCTCGAGACAAGTGCTGGGCATAGAAGCCACAGGGCACAAATCTGCAAAGAAGTAAAAAGCTAACCTTTTCAAACAATA